TATATATACAGTATATGGTGGTTTGAGACTTCTGCACGGAGCTGAACTGAGATAGAAGAGAAAAACAACAGTTTGCTGTTCCCTCACATGAGCTGACAGTGTAAACAGAGTAAAATGTGCAGCCTGGAGGAGAGTTTCAGGGCAGAAATGTTTGCAGAGAGGAGCAGGGAGCTCAGGCTGTAGAGACAGGAGTCTGTCCTGCTGTAAAACACACACACTGTGTGGCTGTGTTTTACAGCAGGACAGAGGATCTGATTGACACAACCTGACTGAACGGAGGAGGAAAATATTCTGAGCAGGTGAGTTTTCTGTGACATTTATTCCTAAAAGGTGAAGATTAGGATTTGTCTGCACTCACCCCTGTCCTGGTTCATGGAAGAATGCATGATGCTGTCAGACTGAACACTGGGTGGTCGAGGAGGCATCTGGTTACCTGCAGGACGCCAAGAATACACAAAATAAACACACAAACAGAGAGGAGGATCCATTTAGATCCTGATAAATTCAAGTAATGACTAATGAACTATTAGCTCTACAGTCAAACTGATAAAACTCTAGTGAAAGCATCACAATCAGTAGTGCTCTAACAAGATTAGGACTTTAATAATCTCTGTTTGGACAGTTAACTATTCTGTGATTATTGTTTCAGTCAAACCTCTCCAGTTKTGTYTTCACACATAAACAAWCCCTGAGCCATCAACACAACATCCTGAAGAGAAAGACTTCTAACTACTTCTCTGTACTTTACTTTACATTTCACCGTTTTACATTGCGTGAGCGGTTTCTGATAGGTTTCAATCATAAAAATAAAATAAAATTGATAGCATACCTTCGAAAAGTATAAATAAACACAAGGATTTGTGAAATGTGAATTCTGAAACACTATTTACTACTTAAATAAAGTTAAATAAGAACTAATAGTTGTGATGTCACCTCATGGTGGGGTACAGGTAATGATGGGGGCTGTATGGTGGGGTACAGGTAATGATAGGAGCTGTATGGTGGGGTACAGGTAATGATGGGGGTTGTATGGTGGGGTACAGGTAATGATGGGGGCTGTATGGTGGGGTACAGGTAATGATGGGGGTTGTATGGTGGGGTACAGGTAATGATGGGGGCTGTATGGTGGGGTACAGGTAATGATAGGAGCTGTAGGTGGGGTACAGGTAATGATGGGGGTTCTAACGTGTCATCCAGCAGTGAGACTTGTCCAGCTCTACCTGGCACTGCAGCGGGGGACAGCGGGCCTGTCCGGGACGGGGTGACGCTTGCCGGGGAGCCCACAGGGGAGGGTGAGGGTCCACGTATGCCTGGCAGGTGGGGTGGGGTGTGAGGGGAGAAGGGGGACTGGGCTGGGTTGCTCTGCTCGCCCTGACTGCTGGACACCCCAGAAGTGCTGACGCCTGGACTCAAGGCTGCCTCTGTGCCAGTGGGCAGGTCATCGATGGACCCGGACAGATCCTGCAGAAAACACAACATGGTTTGTTTGACAGGAGGAGCAGGATGAAACACTGTACGATGAAATAAACTCAGTGTGGTTCTGACTGAACTAAAAACACATGTTTATAGACTCACAGATACAGCAACAGTCACTGACACACTGCTACAAGTATTAACAAGGGTTTACTTTACCTCTGTAGTAACATTTAACAAAAACATCTACGGTAATCTAATTTCATTTAAGCACAAAACATTCCATTGTTTCAATATTTAGTAAAACAACAAAACAGTGCTGCTAATAAATCAGATGTCAATTCTGACATGATGGCTCAGTGGTTATCACTGACGCCTCACAGCGAGAAAGTCCTGGTCTGATCTCCAGTTCAGACCTGGGGTCTTTTCTGTGTGGAGTTTACATGTTCTCTTTGTGCTGGTGTGGGTTTTCTCCAGGTACTGCTGTTTCCCCCACCACTAAAAACATGTAGAACAGGTTGTGTTCAGGCCCAGGCCTCCTTTTAAAAACAGATCTGACATCTCAACGGGACTCACCTGGTTAAATAACATTTCATAGAAAAATTATTTCTCATTTTAACTCTAAACAATTTAATAGAAATAAATTCATAATATAAAACACATGAAATAATACTGATGGTAGTTTTACTCTCCATTAGGGATGCATGATATGAAAATTTCAGCCGATATCGATATACGATATAATTATTGCTGTTATGGCTGATGACTGATATTTACCGATATTACACAAACACACAAATTATAATATTATACATGTACACACAAACACACTTGGGTCTTTTTTGATACGGTAAATAAACAACCAGACCTCTGACATGGCTCCGTACTTCAGTTATTCCTGGTTACGCAGCATCAATATCATCATGATCAAACAGATGCAGCTCAACCAACCATCTCCCAAAACACAAACACAAAGATAAACAGTGAGAAATCAATATGGGGCATTAATATCGGCCCCGTTTTACATATCGGACCGATACCGATATCAATATCGATATATGATGCATCCCTACTCTCCATCATGCAACAGGAATGCCAAACAAAAACTGAGAACATTGAAGTTCCTTCCTTCATTTTTTAAATATAACAAATGTTAGAGCTCTGATTAATTATGTTATAATATAGAGATATAAGGTATATTTTTATAATTGTACATTTATAAACTAATATGCCTTGTTACTAATGTTATAAGTGTGTAACTGCTTTGTAATAAATGCTTTTGTGGACCTCAGGAAGAGTAGATGTTGTCACTGCAATGACTAAAGCAGACCCAAATAAAGATATGATAAGATAAGATAAGATAAGATAAGATAAGATAAGATAAGATAGAGAAGAGAAGATAAAGAAGATAAGATAAGATAAGA